TCTAGGCCTCAAGTAATCATGGGCACGCCAACGATCCTCTGTATACAATCATCAATAGGTTTATCAAACCATCAAGATCTAGTTCTGTAAGTTGTGAGGTTGTGTAGAATTTCTAGTGGTAGCTTTTTGGGTCTTAGGGATATAGGTTATGGTGGTAGCTCTCAAGATAGAAAGATGATTTTCTCTCATAAGAAGTTTAACCTAGATGTGGGAAAAACTCTTCTTATTTATAGGTCTGAAATAAGGATAATCTTAGTAAATAAAAAAATTCAGAATTGCGAACGACCGCTCAATCGGTGGGAGTGCATTCATAGGATGGTTGTCGTTAGAATGAAAGACAAGTTTCAAGCATGACTAAGGCAGACACCACTCGAGAAACCATGGAGACTACTTAAGCGAGCTCATAGAGCAAGACCTGTGCTACCTTTTGTGGCATTTTCTCATTTCCTTTCCTAAGTCATAAAGAGACTGCTCTAATGAAGACTAGTGAGCATAGATCGGTTCCTAAATATTTTTAAGCATAAAACTATACAAAAACCTGTCCTCTTGAGCTGGGTGTTGTTCAAAGAGTAATTCGATTGTGACTCAAACTATTTATTCAAAACTCATAAATAGTTTATAATTTTTTTTTAAAAAAAATCACCTAAGAGGCCTAAACAGATTACTGTCAATTTCATTTTCATCCTAATCAACCTAAATTAAAATTAACTAAGGGTTTATCTTAAGTGTCTATGTTATTACTTTATCCTAAGTATGAAAGTGTATACGGAGATTAAATGTTGTTGTTTTGACGATTGATCTTCTCCTTTCAGTGATACTTAATAAAATCATTACTATGAAATATGTAGAAATTTTATAATAGACTCCATGAAATTAACCAATTATTAATATAATATAACACAACCTAAATACTCCAACTTGAAAAGTCCAAGCAAATAAAGAAGCAAGGAAGAGAAGCATACCCGAGCTCTAGGATGAGTTCTTGGGGCGTGCTAGACTCTAATAGTGAAATGTGTTTAAATATTAATCAGACAATGGCTCTTTGGCGGTTAAATCCACATGAGCCACGATGCCACTTCCCGAGGCACTAACAAACAAAAACATTGAATGTGGACCAAGTGTAAGTCACGTCAAGTTAAGTTGGGGGCAACTGATAAACAAAAAAAAAAAAAAAACAAAGCACGTGCTCGGAATGCTAAGCTCAATAGTTCATATTAGTTTCAACTCGGCAGATAACCACCCTAGGAACCTTGGAGCTCGATAGAGTCTTGCCTCAAAACGAGTTTGACTAGTTCAACTCAATAGCTCGCAGGGGTGGGACAAACAAGTGGAGCAACCTACCCAATACGCGAAGTAGGATCTGCCAACAGCCTAACCATATGGCCTATAAAAAAAGGAGGCCATGAAGGAGATTGATATAAGTGAATCAAACACAAACAAAAGTTTCTTCTAATCCTTCAAATATCTTCGATTGATTATACCATCGGAGAGTTAACACCAAAAACTTATCTGATATTCTACTTGGCTTTGTAGATTAGAGGAGGATTGTCCTAGTCCGCTGTTGCATCTGAAGCTTAGTGGGACGTTCTAAACCATCATCACATGTAACAAACACGTATTGGACTCATCTCGCCAGGTTCTTTTCAGTCTCGATATCACCTGCCCAGATGGTATTGACACCTTGATGTCTTTATTGGAGAATTATATTTACGTCCCTTAGATTTTACCCTAATTATGATAAATATCTCATAGTTAGTAAAATTACACTTGTCAAACTTTATCGGGCGTTTGTTAAGCATTAATTTTCCAAAATAAACACACGCACATTATTATAAGAGTAACGGCTTATACACATATATGTAGTCCCCAAAACAACACTCATCTATGCCACCACACCCCATTGCAATTCTTTTTGGACAATATCGGAGTTATGCACCTCCAATTTGCAATCTATTTCTATTGACGTGGGGATCAGTTAATATTTGTAGGCCAACTTTGAAATTCAAATATAAACTTGGATTGAATATGTCCATGAATAGAATGGTAAAATTATAAAAGTAATGGTCTAATTTATAGATCCCACGAAATTGTAAAGTTGTTAGCCAAACAATGGATTAAATAAGATATAAGATATATTTCATCCGATTTAAGTGGCCGAGTGTTTTTGGGTTGAATGGAGTATGATATCAAAAAGAAATCATATCAAATAAATAAAATTCAATATGAATGCTTCTCATTTGACACGATTGACAAGTCTAACCTGACCCAACGGTCATCGTAACGATTATGATCCATTGTGACTGGTGTGCGNGTTTTTGGGTTGAATGGAGTATGATATCAAAAAGAAATCATATCAAATAAATAAAACTCAATACGAATCCTTCTCACTTGACACGATTGACAAGCCTAACCTGACTCAACGGTCATCGTAACGATTATGATCCATTGTGACTGGTGTGGGGTCAAAGACTATGTGAACTGTAGATCTATTTAATTAACTAAATGATATATCATGTAATTTGAGTAAATCCTGACGGGTATCAATATAATTTTTCCTATCTTGATAACGTACGCAAATTATACTATTAGATGACCATTGTTTTACGTTTTCTTCTTGCCTTCCTAACGGAGACATTGAAGATGACCAAGAAAAACATAAATAATAATAAAAATTACGTTTCTTCTTGCCTTCCTAACGGAGACATTGAAGATGACCAAGAAAAACATAAATAATAATAATAAAAAAAATAGTTGTAATTGCCATTTGATCCGTGCAATGAATCAACATATGGCATATAGAGCTTCGTTTTTTCACACACACAAGGGAAATACAAAGACAATAGCATGTGGTTGAATTAGGGAACATAGTTTCCAACAGTCAGTATTAATACTACAGGAATTCTAGAATATGATATAGTTGATATGAATAAATCAATTAAATTAATTGTGAATAAGAAAAACTCAATTTTGACACAATGAAGTCTATTTAATTGATATTACCTTACGATTTTTAAGATTTAATTGATATATAGAATACTCCCTCCGTTCTTAAATATATGTCGTTTAAGGTTTTTACACATGGATTAAGGAAGCTATTAAATAGCTTTAATGTGAGTAAAAAATAATTGTACAAGACTAAAATACTCTTATTCAATACGTATTAGGAAGGAAAGAAATATGACTAAATATTTGTCGTTTAAGGTTTNAAAAATAATTGTACAAGACTAAAATACTCTTATTCAATACGTATTAGGAAGGAAAGAAATATGACTAAATATTTGTCGTTTAAGGTTTTTACATAGGAATTAAGGAAGCTATTAAATAGCTCTAATATGAATAAAAAATAATTACACAAGACTAAAATACCCTTATTCAATACATATTGGAAAGGAAAGGAAAGGAATATGAAAGACACTTAACCTCTACCAAATCTAATGCATTGAAAAGTTAAGGGTAAATTTAGAAAAAAAAATATTAATTATGCTTTGATTTCATTAAACGACAGATATTATGGAACAAAAAAAATTGTGTAAAACGACAGATATTTAAAAACAGAAGGAGTAATTTATTAAGCACTTATTAAAAAACATAGATAAGGGTAAATTTGAAATAAAAAATATTAATTATGTTTTGATTTCATTAAACGACAGANAAACAGAAGGAGTAATTTATTAAGCACTTATTAAAAAACATAGATAAGGGTAAATTTGAAATAAAAAATATTAATTATGTTTTGATTTCATTAAACGACAGATATTGTGAAACAAAATNAAAAATAATTGTACAAGACTAAAATACTCTTATTCAATACGTATTAGGAAGGAAAAGAATATGACTAAATATTTGTCGTTTAAGGTTTTTGCACAGGAATTAAGGAAGCTATTAAATAGCTCTAATATGAATAAAAAATAATTACACAAGACTAAAATACCCTTATTCAATACATATTGGAAATGAAAGGTAAGGAATATGAAAGACACTTAACCTCCACCAAATCTAATGCATTGAAAAGTTAAGGGTAAATTTAGAAAAAAAATATTAATTATACTTTGATTTCATTAAACGACATATATTATGGAACAAAAAAAATTGTATAAAACGACAGATATTTAGAAACAGAGGGAGTAATTTATTAAGCACTTATTGACANAAACGACAGATATTATGGAACAAAAAAAATTGTGTAAAACGACAGATATTTAAAAACAGAAGGAGTAATTTATTAAGCACTTATTAAAAAACATAGATAAGGGTAAATTTGAAATAAAAAATATTAATTATGTTTTGATTTCATTAAACGACAGATATTGTGAAACAAAATTTTTTTTGTAAAACGACAGATATTTAGGAACGAAGGAAGTATAATATAGTTAATTGCATTAGAAATTCCTAAAGTATGAGATTTGTTTTATTTTAGTCCCTAATATTTCAATTTTATCCATAAAATATTAAATATATTTTTATATGGTCTTTCAAGTAAATAACGTCTAGATTGCTAACAATTTTTTATTATAAATTTATTACTTAATACTTAAATATGAGCGAAAAAAATAATTTGGATAACTCTTGACAAAATTTTTACAAAATTTTTTGTTAATAACTACGCAAATTATGTAGTTTTGATTTTGAGATATCTAAATTTTGGTTAAGAACTATCTATATTACATATTTTTGATTAAGAACTATTCAAATTTTAGTCAAGAGTCACTTAAATTATTTTTTACCCATATAAAGGTATCATGTGAAAAATTTATGATAAAAAATTATTAATAATTTAGATGTTGTCTTGCCCTCAATATTTTATTTTGGTCAGACCCTCAATATAACTTAGATTGCTAAAAGAAATAACTTTATCTTATTCTTCTGGACTTTTTTCCATGTTCCAATCTCCAACCCAATCAAGGGAAGGTTCTACATACATATACACACATTTATATAATCAGAGCTAGTGTGTACGTTTTCACATACACCTTATCGGCAAAACCAGGAAACCAACCCANTTCCAATCTCCAACCCAATCAAGGGAAGGTTCTACATACATATACACACATTTATATAATCAGAGCTAGTGTGTACGTTTTCACATACACCTTATCGGCAAAACCAGGAAACCAACCCAGTTATTCTCTCTCTGTTCATAGGTTGGTGATCTAGGGGGAGGGGGTGAAGTGGGTCGGACCAGCCATGGACTGGGAATGGTTGGTGGAGTTCTTGAAGGGCATGTTGAAGCCAATTGCTGCTCTTGCAGTTGTGCTTATGGCTGTGATATTGTCTTATACGCAGAGGTTGGGGTTAGGGGGTGAAATGGTTTACTCAATCTTCAGAGCTTTTCTTCAGCTCTCTGTTATTGGGTTTGTTCTTCAGTTCATTTTCAACCAGAAGAACAGTGTCTGGATCGTTCTTGCTTATCTTTTCATGGTATGATTCTCCTCCCTCCCTGTTTGGTTGCTGAGAAACTTGAAGAAAAATAGAATGAAGGATATTCTCCTGATTGTAAGATTCAGAATTATATCTTTCTTATTTTCTTGATTTCAATGGTAACCAAATGGGATCTCTCTCTCTCTCTCTAAGTTTGTATTATGTGTAACACATGGTTTTACTAAGTTAAAATTCTATTCTTTGTATTGATTGATGATGCTGGATTATAAAGGTAAAAACCAAAAAAGGGTCCAAAGAAGAGAATTTGTTGGTGTTGAAGAACCAGGGAAAAGGAACTTTTTTGTTATTGGAATTAAATCTTGCTTGTTCAATTGCACACTGCTATTCCAATTATTTATTTGTTTTCTTCAAATATCCCTCTTTCTGCTGGCTAAAAACTCTTTTGTCATGGACAATTTTTGTTCAATGTATGTCACCCATTGTTGTCAAGGAATCAATTTCTTCCCCCTTAGTCCTTTACTGAAATGGAATTGCCGAAAAAATGAAGAATTCATAGCTTGATGATGACAGAGCAAGTGCTTACAAATACTTGCCAATAGTTTAAAACCAGCTCTGATCAAATCAAGAGAGAACAAAGTAGTTGTCATTACTTCTGCTCACATCCTTAATGAGGACTTTGGTTTTTTCAAAAGAAACAAGGAGGAAGTAGGTGAACTTCTGAGTTCATGCATACTTATTTACAATGATAGATCACCCCCTTAAGTTTTGAAAATCCCCCTTTTTTTACCACTTTTAGCTATGAATACTGTAAAACCATGTAGGTTTGTCCCTGTAGACTTTTTCAACAAAAGGCAAGCCTCATTCGTTTGGCTAAATTAGTGGATCCGTCCTTGCTTATATGTATGTTTAGTGCATACATACTTTTTGAAGATGGAAGGATTGTCATTACTATGCCAGGTTCAAGTTGATGATGCCCCTTTTGTAAATGGACTGTAGATGGATATTTTGGAATTCTTTGTTGTGTCAGTTTTTATTGGAGATAGTTTGTAGGGCGGCTTTTGTTACCCTTACTGATTTAGGTTTGCAAAAGATATGGCCATGACTTAACAGCAGTAAATGGTCTTGCTTATCCCTAAGTGATTGATTCCGTAAATAGAGCCCTCACTGATGAAATTGGGCTATTACTTTGTCTTTCTTTTCATTTTATTTTTTCATCTTTTGGTATGATTGATAGACCTTGACATTCTTGGCTGCTAGACCTTTTTCTGCAATGATTAATTGCTTATGAGGATCAGGGAGGCTTCTCACTTCAACTACTTTTTATAATTGTGCCCCTGCAGGTTTGTGTTGCTGGTTACACAGCAGGCCAACGTGCGAAACATGTCCCTCGTGGGAAGTATGCGGCAGGAGCCTCCATCCTGGCTGGAACTTCAGTGACAATGTTCCTTTTAGTTGTGCTGAATGTTTTCCCTTTCACTCCACNCTTTTTCTGCAATGATTAATTGCTTATGAGGATCAGGGAGGCTTCTCACTTCAACTCCTTTTTATAATTGTGCCCCTGCAGGTTTGTGTTGCTGGTTACACAGCAGGCCAACGGGCGAAACATGTCCCTCGTGGGAAGTATGCGGCAGGAGCCTCTATCCTGGCTGGAACTTCAGTGACAATGTTCCTTTTAGTTGTGCTGAATGTTTTCCCTTTCACTCCACGGTACATCATCCCTGTTGCTGGGATGATGGTTGGCAATGCAATGACGGTCACTGGGGTTACAATGAAAAGACTCCGAGATGATATCAAGACACAAATGAGCCTGGTTGGTCTTATTAAATGGGCATTTTTAGGGTGGTAGATTGTCATAACTCAAACATTTTCCAAAAATTTGCTGCAATTTTCCTTCTTGTGACAAAATTTATTGACCTATGTTTTCTATATAGCCGTTTCTAATCTCATAACATATATGAATGTGAATGAGAAGATGTTGTGCCATCGCTCTTTTCCTATATTCATGAACATAGTTGTTTCTTTTTCTGTATATCGAGTCGTCCTCAATNACCTATGTTTTCTATATAGCCGTTTCTAATCTCATAACATATATGAATGTGAATGACAAGATGTTGTGCCATCGCTCTTTTCCTATATTCATGAACATAGTTGTTTCTTTTTCTGTATATCGAGTCGTCCTCAGTGCTTACCATAGGCTTCAAGTCTGGAGGTCCAATTTGGCATTACTTTTTACAATTTTATATGATTTCTTATTGTAGGTGGAGACAGCATTGGCTCTTGGGGCTACTCCTCGCGAAGCAACGTTTCAGCAAGTGAAAAGGGCCCTTGTTATTGCGCTTTCTCCAGTCTTGGACAATGCCAAAACTGTTGGTCTCATATCACTTCCTGGTGCAATGACTGGACTCATAATGGGAGGAGCTTCTCCTCTGGAGGCCATTCAGTTGCAGATTGTTGTGATGAACATGCTTGTTGGGGCTTCAACTGTTAGCAGTATCATGTCCACATACCTCTGTTGGCCCGTTTTCTTCACCAAAGCTTACCAGTTAGAAACGAAGGTGTTTTCTTCCGATTGAGGTTTGTCTGATCTTAACTCCCTATGTTCATCGTCATCAACTGAATTAACCTATACAGGCATCGAGGGCCTAGTGGTTACAGTTTCCAGTGGATCAATCGCCCTGCAAATGAATATGCACATGAAATTGTATGATATATTTAGTTACCTTTCTTCCTTTTCCTTTTTCCAATAGTAAGTTTTGAAACAATGAGTATCCTAGCATTTTTTGCAGGATTTCAGTTAAAAATTCATTTTTCTATTAAGGAAATTGCAATTATGGTTTATGCAAATGTTTAAATTGAGTGTAGATGAGTCTTGCTTAGAATTTCTAGCATCGACCCTTTCTTGCCACCCCCCCTGATGTGCATCAGTGGATTATGTTCTAATTCATTAGCCATCTTTGGAGCAGATCCATTATTACAATATTTCCCAATAAAATCATTAAAGGGTAATAAGTTAGCTGTTTAGAACACATTCCTTGATGTATGCTTTGGAATTCATGGGCTTGCATAATAAACATACATATAGATCATTGAAAACAGGGAAAACAATTATTTGCCCAGTGGTCCTATGTTCAAACCTAGTGTAGGTATTGCATCAGATGGAATATCTGGAGACATGTTAGAGGCCGTGGTTAGTGGGTTCCTATTTTTATAATTTCCTGCCGGAAAATATGAACAAACCACCAGTCTTCCTCTTTCATAGTTGCAGGTGACCCCGTAGCACCCAACCTGTCTAGTAGTACCCCATGTAACAGCCAGATAGTGGCTGCACTGGCAATCGTCGGTTTCTATAGGGCATCTGCACACATTCCTCACATGATCGAAAAACACTTGCTCCTGGAACCAACTACTCACCACGTCCGTCGGAGAATGCTCCTCGTATTGCTCCCAAAACGTATTCTCACCGTATGGACCCTGGGAATGGTGCCTGTACTGGCAGTCATTCTGGCGTTGCATGGCCCAATTCTGGGCGTATGCGGCCAGGGTTGTGTTCCATTCCAAGGGTGGTACATGCATGCTCATCCTCAAGTCATTGTGAGCTTTGAGGTATTCTAGATCCTCCCCGGTGATAGTTTGCTGGGGAGGCTTGTAATAAGGGTGGTGAAGCTGGTGTCTGAATCTGCCTCGGCGCCTTGGGACATTGGGGTGGCGCCTAGGTGCAGTTAAGGCGGAGACATTGAGTGCATGAAGAAATGCAAAGATGAACAATGCAACAAGAATGGTGGCCTTTGACATTGGTACTACTATGGTGGTTGGTTGTTCTATGGTTGGCTGCTCTCATTTCCTTGAGAGCACCCTTATTTGAGAAGACAGAGAGAGAGAGGGGAAACGCGTTTGTCTGTTTGTTTGTTTTCTTTCAACTAAGAGGTATCCGAGTCTCTTGGAACACCTGTCTTGGACACATGTAGTCCCCTAGAACAAATTAGTCAACAGAAAATTTTTCTTGTGTGTGTGAAGGGCATTTTTTGTGCAGTTTTGTCAAGGTAATTGGGGGGTGATGGCTTGTGTATTTACTATAAGAAGCTAAAGGCATGAATGGTCCTTGTTTGTTTGACCGCTAACCGTTAAGGATTAGGCAATTACCGCCGTTTTAGGACGTCCTCAGGTAGTTTCCCCACGAGTTTTCCCACTTTTTACTATGACTTGTTAGATTGGCTATGATAGAGGGTTGTTCCATTCTTAATAGTTTCAAACTTCATACAATATCCTGACCCAAAAAAAAAAAAAACTTTATACAATATAACAGTGGCTCCACCAAGTCCTTGAGAGATTGAGAACATGGCCAGAGACACAAAGAAATGGGCAGTTAGGCTTCTCAATGGGGCAAATTTTAATCCGAATTCGAGTCTATTTAACCGGATATGAATTAATATTTTAATCTATTTTTTTGAATCCGATTAGATTTCTGTAAACGAATTTGAATTTGGATACATGTAAATTTAATTTGATAAAAACCGATCTAGTATATATACACACACACATTTAATTGAGAGAAATTATTGCATACATATTTAGTTAAATTATTAATGAGATTGACATGAAATTAAATAGAATGATTGATTGATTAAATTACGTTGAGAATTAACTTAACTTTAGTAACATTATATTTTTATGAAATTTTGTGGGGATTTAAATTCTTAGATTGGATCGGGTAATTGGATTAGATATCTAATTATTAACGGATGCGGATATAGATTAAGATTTTGAATTTCATTGAGTAAATGGATGGAATTCAAATTTTTTATCAAATTCAGAAAGAAATGATCCATTGACAGACCTAGATCAGCCAAGCTACCTGCCACTATAGGATTTAGGAAGTGCCACGGTAGGATTTAGGAAGAGTTACAGGTATGCAGCTAAACATCTTTATGTGAAAAGACTATTTCCGTGGCTAATATCTATGATGGCCCGGTTAGAAGGGAGCAACCTTATTGCTGTAAAAAACTCCACCAAGTCCTTGTTAGACACAGCTTTCCAGGTCTGGCCTTAGCAAACTAAGGCCGGGCCAGTTACCAAAGATCCTCCCACATAGTCCCATTTCATCCAAGCCATAAGCATGTGCAGGTTCAGGCTATTGCACACCAAGGATTATAATCAAAAGAAGGCTGCATTTCAATGTCCTCGTTACTGTAATATGCATCAAACAGTTCTTCACCTTGGTAGGGATCCTCTGCCCTCCCCATGGCACTGCCATAAGGCTCGCTCAAATCCACTGTCGAAAGCACCATACACATCAGAGAACATCTCCTCTCCCTACCTGCCAACACCGCTGGACTCATATTCGCCAAGCCATTAGTCACTGATATTGAAAGGCTGAAGTAACCCTTGTGTCCATTCTCATTCCAAGGTCTGCAGGTAAAATCAAATTCTCCTACCATGTCACCCGATCCAACTCCTCTGAGGGAGATGGAAGTGGCTCTCAGTGAGGGCTGCCTTCACATTAACTGCCATCAAACCAAGTGAAATGATATGATGCATACTTTACGAAATCAGGTTCACTAAATTTCAAAGTAGAGCCGGGCATGAGAGATTACAAACTTCAAGCTATAACCCTCACTCAGATACTCATCTCCCTTTGCATACAATATTCAATCATGCATGAGAATATTTGCCTAGTTGTAGAAGCTATTCTAGCATTCTTATCTAAAGAAAGAGGAGGGGAAAAGAACTGGATTTTTGCACTACCATATCCTTGATCCTTCTGAAACAGAATCTCCTTAAAGATGAAAAAGTGAAGAAAGTCCCATAACAAGAAAAGGTAAAAAAGGGAAAAAGCTTAGGTATCTTGGCTAGATAGTTAAAAACCTTACTAGAGTCTCTTATGCGATGGAGCTCACATTTATTTCTATAGGTATTCTATGTATTTAAAGAAGCAGTGAAGGTGCTGCCCTTGCTAGTAAATTTTCCACAGAGATATGCCATCCCCTTTTTATTGGACTAAGGGAATTCATGGGTAGAGCGCAAAATCCCTTCTTGTGTAGTCAGTCTACCTACAGACCTGGATGACCATATGCTGATACTCAACTCTTTGTTTCAAGTTGTTAACAAAATGATGCTCATATATACAACACAAATAGTGCCTGGAGTTTTTATAAAGGATTGCACGTAGATGGCAAGAATAAACACATTAGGGGAAACATCAAGTGGGCCAAAATTTGTGATCCAAACAGTTCATTTAGATATATACAATGAAACATGTGTACAAGTAAAGGAAAAGAGGAAGGGGAGAGCTCATGAAAAAACAAAAGTCAAATGCTGTCAATCAAAAGATATACATAAAAGTCAAATGAGGTTGTAGAAAGGTGTAAATGGAAATACTCATCCATGTCAACCAATGAAAAAGAAAAAAGAGAAATTAGCTGCATCCGCTTAGTTTGATTTCACCACAAATCCCTCATTTGACGCTTTTGCTCCAGCTCATTCACCAAAAACTTACACAAATTAGTACCATAATTGACACGGCACCCAATGCTCCGTCAATCCATTGCACACTCAAATCATACTTCACAATTTCTAGAAGTGGAGGCAGTTCCAAATTCAAATGTGAAAATGATCACCTCTATGGTTCAATATTGGAATTACAGATCGCCTATGATCATCACCATTTCGCATTGGGATCACAATACCTTACACCGGTGACCAGGATATCAGTCACCAACACTGAAGATAAGCATAACTCCTCTCCAGGTGTTGTAAAGAAATGCTTTGCACTGCGAAATAACAATGCAGAGAGAGAGGTAGGGCCTCAGGGGAAAAAAAGAAGAATTCAAGTAGATTATGAACTNTAACTTAACTTTAGTAACATTATATTTTTATGAAATTTTGTGGGGATTTAAATTCTCAGATTGGATCGGGTAATTGGATTAGATATCTAATTATTAACGGATGCGGATATAGATTAAGATTTTGAATTTCATTGAGTAAATGGATGGAATTCAAATTTTTTATCAAATTCAGAAAGAAATGATCCATTGACAGACCTAGATCAGCCAAGCTACCTGCCACTATAGGATTTAGGAAGTGCCACGGTAGGATTTAGGAAGAGTTACAGGTATGCAGCTAAACATCTTTATGTGAAAAGACTATTTCCGTGGCTAATATCTATGATGGCCCGGTTAGAAGGGAGCAACCTTATTGCTGTAAAAAACTCCACCAAGTCCTTGTTAGACACAGCTTTCCAGGTCTGGCCTTAGCAAACTAAGGCCGGGCCAGTTACCAAAGATCCTCCCACATAGTCCCATTTCATCCAAGCCATAAGCATGTGCAGGTTCAGGCTATTGCACACCAAGGATTATAATCAAAAGAAGGCTGCATTTCAATGTCCTCGTTACTGTAATATGCATCAAACAGTTCTTCACCTTGGTAGGGATCCTCTGCCCTTCCCATGGCACTGCCATAAGGCTCGCTCAAATCCACTGTCGAAAGCACCGTACACATCAGAGAACATCTCCTCTCCCTACCTGCCAACACCGCTGGACTCATATTCGCCAAGCCATTAGTCACTGATATTGAAAGGCTGAAGTAACCCTTGTGTCCATTCTCATTCCAAGGTCTGCAGGTAAAATCAAATTCTCCTACCATGTCACCCGATCCAACTCCTCTGAGGGAGATGGAAGTGGCTCTCAGTGAGGGCTGCCATCACATTAACTGCCATCAAACCAAGTGAAATGATATGATGCATACTTTACGAAATCAGGTTCACTAAATTTCAAAGTAGAGCCGGGCATGAGAGATTACAAACTTCAAGCTATAACCCTCACTCAGATACTCATCTCCCTTTGCATACAATATTCAATCATGCATGAGAATATTTGCCTAGTTGTAGAAGCTATTCTAGCATTCTTATCTAAAGAAAAAGGAGGGGAAAAGAACTGGATTTTTGCACTACCATATCCTTGATCCTTCTGAAACAGAATCTCCTTAAAGATGAAAAAGTGAAGAAAGTCCCATAACAAGAAAAGGTAAAAAAGGGAAAAAGCTTAGGTATCTTGGCTAGATAGTTAAAAACCTTACTAGAGTCTCTTATGCGATGGAGCTCACATTTATTTCTATAGGTATTCTATGTATTTAAAGAAGCAGTGAAGGTGCTGCCCTTGCTAGTAAATTTTCCACAGAGATATGCCATCCCCTTTTTATTGGACTAAGGGAATTCATGGGTAGAGCGCAAAATCCCTTCTTGTGTAGTCAGTCTACCTACAGACCTGGATGACCATATGCTGATACTCAACTCTTTGTTTCAAGTTGTTAACAAAATGATGCTCATATATACAACACAAATAGTGCCTGGAGTTTTTATAAAGGATTGCACGTAGATGGCAAGAATAAACACATTAGGGGAAACATCAAGTGGGCCAAAATTTGTGATCCAAACAGTTCATTTAGATATATACAATGAAACATGTGTACAAGTAAAGGAAAAGGGGAAGGGGAGAGCTCATGAAAAAACAAAAGTCAAATGCTGTCAATCAAAAGATATACATAAAAGTCAAATGAGGTTGTAGAAAGGTGTAAATGGAAATACTCATCCATGTCAACCAATGAAAAAGAAAAAAGAGAAATTAGCTGCATCCGCTTAGTTTGATTTCACCACAAATCCCTCATTTGACGCTTTTGCTCCAGCTCATTCACCAAAAACTTACACAAATTAGTACCATAATTGACACGGCACCCAATGCTCCGTCAATCCATTGCACACTCAAATCATACTTCACAATTTCTAGAAGTGGGGGCAGTTCCAAATTCAAATGTGAAAATGATCACCTCTATGGTTCAATATTGGAATTACAGATCGCCTATGATCATCACCATTTCGCATTGGGATCACAATACCTTACACCGGTGACCAGGATATCAGTCACCAACACTGAAGATAAGCATAACTCCTCTCCAGGTGTTGTAAAGAAATGCTTTGCACTGCGAAATAACAATGCAGAGAGAGAGGTAGGGCTTCAGGGGAAAAAAAGAAGAATTCAAGTAGATTGTGAACTTGTTTGGGATCTTCCCCAAAAAAGTAGGACTTATTTGTCCATTTTCGAAATTTATAGGACCTAACAGTTTTTTGATGCACAAAGCAGTACTTAATAGTTCTTTTCCGCAGAAACTACCATTTTTAGTAAATCAGTGCATGGTTTGCTTATGTTTTGCCAGGCTACTTTTAAATTTTACGCCATCAACACTATTGAGATTCACATTTACACTCACATCCCTAACATAATTCCCAACAACATTTTTTTTTCCAAATCAAAATGTTTAACAGGTAAAATGATTCAAGATTAAACTGAGCCATGAGAGCATTTCCAATCAATTTACTTAACTTCAAATTTGATGCAAGCAAAAGCTGTCTATCTGAAAGAACATTACACGAGTAAGACCATAATTCAAGTGAGCACCCTATATCTACACACTATCAGTCCTTAAGATCAAGAAAGTGGCTTACTCTGANTTGTTTGGGATCTTCCCCAAAAAAGTAGGACTTATTTGTCCATTTTCGAAATTTATAGGACCTAACAGTTTTTTGATGCACAAAGCAGTACTTAATAGTTCTTTTCCGTAGAAACTACCATTTTTAGTAAATCAGTGCATGGTTTTGCCAGGCTACTTTTAAATTTTACGCCATCAAAACTATTGAGATTCACATTTACACTCACATCCCTAACATAATTCCCAACAACATTTTTTTTTCCAAATCAAAATGTTTAACAGGTAAAATGATTCAAGATTAAACTGAGCCATGAGAGCATTTCCAATCAATTTACTTAACTTCAAATTTGATGCAAGCAAAAGCTGTCTATCTGAAAGAACATTACACGAGTAAGATCATAATTCAAGTGAGCACCCTATATCTACACACTATCAGTCCTTAAGATCAAGAAAGTGGCTTACTCTCAGCTTGTGCTCCATATTGCATGATTGAAATTATCCAACTCTTCAGACTGGGAACCATATACAGATTTGATTGTATCGATACAGCAACTGCAACCAAGATAAATTTGAACATCTAAAACTAAATACCCCTACCAAATTGGTGTTCCATATAACACACACACACACACATTGGGTGTTCAAGACTCGAGCTTTTACAAAGCCCAGAGGGCCAGAAAACAAGAAAATGGGAGTGTTTTGATTTGTACCTGCAAGCCTCCTTGTTGAACTTTCTCTTGTCAATTCCATACAACGTTTGGAAAACATCTGGCTCCACTCGACAAAAATATGGGCGATCTGATAAAATAAACTTTTAAAGAGGGTTCGTACAGTCACATATGAACAAAATAAAGATTAGGCAATAAAGATTCAAAACCTTAGGCAAATTCTCACCGGCATAGATAGAGCATGTTCTTGTGCTTTTTTCGTAGTGTATGCACCACCCATCTGCACCTATCAAACTTTTGTACGACTGAAAAAACAGAATTATCATCAAACACAAACATACACACACACACATTGAGCAAACAATTGATTCGAAACCTGGCTATCAGAAGGGTCGTCAAAGATTTCTTCGGGGGAGGGAAAGGAGGGACCTTTTTGGAGCTTGCAGCAAGCGCCACAACCCTGAACACACTGCCACAGAGGATCCTTTTTCTTGCCGCCGAAGCCGGAAGTAGTAGTGGTGGTTGTGGAGGCGCCACCGCTCTTCTGGCCTCGGTTGTTCTTCTGGGTCTTCAAGTTTTGTCTCTGTCGTGGCCGATTCGCCTCCGAGTGGATGGTGGGGTTACTGGCGTAGCACGGCGGAGACACCACCACTGTGTACGTCATTTCTCTGTGGCTGAAGATTAGATTAGGCGGAGCAAATGGATTTTGAATGAATATGGTACGAATTCGTTACTTTTTAGAAAAATTTCACTCACGCCCTTTCTATTATACTACATCTTTAAGTACATTCTTCCTATTTTTTGAATCTTTACTACACTTCCTTTAAATTAAAGGTATTAATTAAATTTTATTAAATTATCCGTAATGTATTTTTAAAAAAATTTCATCTATATCTCCTCTAGATAAATATATTTTCGATGAAGCCCTTTATTTTTTCAATTTTTGTAGGGAAATATTAAAATTCAATTTGAACTAATTAAAATTATGATAAAAAAAACTAATTAAAAGTTATTTTTTACTTATTAAAATTTGATTTGATTAAAATTATATTCGAGCCAATTAAAAATCGCATTTAATTTTAATAGACCCGAATTTTGATACATAAAAAAATATAAATGTTAATCTACTCAAATTTTAATTCGTAAAAAATAAATTTTGATTAACTTGAATCGAATTTTAATTGACATGAATTTTAATAAGTAAAAAAAATATAAATTTTAATTGACTCGAAGAAAATTTTAATTAGCGCTAACAACCCAGATAGAGTTCAAATCAACTTAAATTTTAATGCGTAATTTTTTTTTAATTAGACTCGAATTTTAATATATAAAAAAATAAAATTTAATCAGCTTGAATTGAATTTTGATCGGCTCAAATTTTAATACGTAAAAAAATGAATTTTAATCAACTTGAATTTTAATACGTAAAAAAATAAATTTTACTCGGCTCATATTTTAATCAATTTTTATGTAGAAAGGTTGTTTGGTGTTTTAGGGGCAATTTTAGTATTTTAAATGTGTTGTTTTTTTTAAAAACGCTGGTTTAATGGTAAGAGCANCCCCAAAAAAGTAGGACTTATTTGTCCATTTTCGAAATTTATAGGACCTAACAGTTTTTTGATGCACAAAGCAGTACTTAATAGTTCTTTTCCGTAGAAACTACCATTTTTAGTAAATCAGTGCATGGTTTTGCCAGGCTACTTTTAAATTTTACGCCATCAAAACTATTGAGATTCACATTTACACTCACATCCCTAACATAATTCCCAACAACATTTTTTTTTCCAAATCAAAATGTTTAACAGGTAAAATGATTCAAGATTAAACTGAGCCATGAGAGCATTTCCAATCAATTTACTTAACTTCAAATTTGATGCAAGCAAAAGCTGTCTATCTGAAAGAACATTACACGAGTAAGATCATAATTCAAGTGAGCACCCTATATCTACACACTATCAGTCCTTAAGATCAAGAAAGTGGCTTACTCTCAGCTTGTGCTCCATATTGCATGATTGAAATTATCCAACTCTTCAGACTGGGAACCATATACAGATTTGATTGTATCGATACAGCAACTGCAACCAAGATAAATTTGAACATCTAAAACTAAATACCCCTACCAAATTGGTGTTCCATATAACACACACACACACACATTGGGTGTTCAAGACTCGAGCTTTTACAAAGCCCAGAGGGCCAGAAAACAAGAAAATGGGAGTGTTTTGATTTGTACCTGCAAGCCTCCTTGTTGAACTTTCTCTTGTCAATTCCATACAACGTTTGGAAAACATCTGGCTCCACTCGACAAAAATATGGGCGATCTGATAAAATAAACTTTTAAAGAGGGTTCGTACAGTCACATATGAACAAAATAAAGATTAGGCAATAAAGATTCAAAACCTTAGGCAAATTCTCACCGGCATAGATAGAGCATGTTCTTGTGCTTTTTTCGTAGTGTATGCACCACCCATCTGCACCTATCAAACTTTTGTACGACTGAAAAAACAGAATTATCATCAAACACAAACATACACACACACACATTGAGCAAACAATTGATTCGAAACCTGGCTATCAGAAGGGTCGTCAAAGATTTCTTCGGGGGAGGGAAAGGAGGGACCTTTTTGGAGCTTGCAGCAAGCGCCACAACCCTGAACACACTGCCACAGAGGATCCTTTTTCTTGCCGCCGAAGCCGGAAGTAGTAGTGGTGGTTGTGGAGGCGCCACCGCTCTTCTGGCCTCGGTTGTTCTTCTGGGTCTTCAAGTTTTGTCTCTGTCGTGGCCGATTCGCCTCCGAGTGGATGGTGGGGTTACTGGCGTAGCACGGCGGAGACACCACCACTGTGTACGTCATTTCTCTGTGGCTGAAGATTAGATTAGGCGGAGCAAATGGATTTTGAATGAATATGGTACGAATTCGTTACTTTTTAGAAAAATTTCACTCACGCCCTTTCTATTATACTACATCTTTAAGTACATTCTTCCTATTTTTTGAATCTTTACTACACTTCCTTTAAATTAAAGGTATTAATTAAATTTTATTAAATTATCCGTAATGTATTTTTAAAAAAATTTCATCTATATCTCCTCTAGATAAATATATTTTCGATGAAGCCCTTTATTTTTTCAATTTTTGTAGGGAAATATTAAAATTCAATTTGAACTAATTAAAATTATGATAAAAAAAACTAATTAAAAGTTATTTTTTACTTATTAAAATTTGATTTGATTAAAATTATATTCGAGCCAATTAAAAATCGCATTTAATTTTAATAGACCCGAATTTTGATACATAAAAAAATATAAATGTTAATCTACTCAAATTTTAATTCGTAAAAAATAAATTTTGATTAACTTGAATCGAATTTTAATTGACATGAATTTTAATAAGTAAAAAAAATATAAATTTTAATTGACTCGAAGAAAATTTTAATTAGCGCTAACAACCCAGATAGAGTTCAAATCAACTTAAATTTTAATGCGTAATTTTTTTTTAATTAGACTCGAATTTTAATATATAAAAAAATAAAATTTAATCAGCTTGAATTGAATTTTGATCGGCTCAAATTTTAATACGTAAAAAAATGAATTTTAATCAACTTGAATTTTAATACGTAAAAAAATAAATTTTACTCGGCTCATATTTTAATCAATTTTTATGTAGAAAGGTTGTTTGGTGTTTTAGGGGCAATTTTAGTATTTTAAATGTGTTGTTTTTTTTAAAAACGCTGGTTTAATGGTAAGAGCATCAACTATATTTAAATTATAAATTACAAAGAGTGTTAGTGAAGTTTTAAATAATAGAAAAGATAGTCTTAAAAATATGATAAACAATAAATACTTATTTTTTAATATTAATAGTTGCACACAATTCCGGTTCACATGACGTTGTTGTATGCAAATGAAACATAACAACCTAATAGACAGTCGCACAGTTTAATGGGGGCAGCCAACGGCCTCATGTTCCCATTACCGAGGATCTATTGAGGTGATCTTCGAGTACTTTTTTTATTTTAATTTATTTTTAATTATTAAAATACAAAAAAAAAAGATAGTTATTAAGTTAATGTTACTATGTTTACATCAGTTAATTAGGTGGCATTGTCCATATTACTTTTACATGTAATTCTTGATAATTGTTATATATCAATTACCTTCAGTAATTTTGTATCATGTTACTATATGCTAGTTAAGATATTGATAATATAACATCATGTTACAGTGTCACCCTATGCTTGGATCATGTTACTATTGAATTTGAATTGTTAAGAAAATCTTGTGATCTGAATTTCACTTAATATACAAACGATTTATTCGTACATCAAACTTCCATATATAACTATCAAAATATATATATTCCATATAAAACTTCCGTTAATTATCATAATTTTTTTTATCAAATAATTATCAAAATATTTAATAAATAATTTCCATATATAACTCGATCAACGGTTCCCATATATACTTCAATTATCTAACATATGTGACTTTCTATAACTATCAAACGTCGTTTGTTGCTATTCTACAGGGTAGGGATACAATAGTAAACTTGACAAAAAAATGAACTTAAAACCAAATAAGTTTTCTTATCGGACTTTATCTCTACATAAGTCTATATAGGGGGACCAGCTTCCAAATTTTTCTATTATTTACACACAATGCAGCACAACTCTAACAGAATAACTTTTATGAATTAATGACTTACTCTAATAATGAATCAGTCTCATTTTTATGGAGTTCTAAATACTTTTTATTCCTTTTCATTAAATCCTTTAATATATGGGAGTGTGACTACATACTTTTTCTTGTTCCAAAAAGCAGTAGGAATAATATTACAAATTTTTTTAGTTATCTTATTTTCAAGTTCTTTTAATTTTACTCTAAATTCATTGGTCTCCATTGTATGACATATATTTAAAATCTTTACTTTTTGTTGTAAAAAGTTTATGATTTTTTTTTACAAATCAAATTTTCTTTTATTTAATTTATTATTTTAATTTGAGGAAGAGTTATAAAATCACATAATATTTGTGACCTTGCAAAGTAGTCGGGATTCCTTTGAAATCAATTCTTTCTTGTGGTTCAATCATAGATAAGAATTGTGTTCCTAATATTACCAATTGAGTTAAATTTTCTGTAAGCATAAAAGTAGTATGAATACAAATTCCTTGGTTACAGATAAAAAAATTTGAGAGTTTAAATTTAATGTTTAATTTAGAACCGTCGGTCGTACTTAATGATTATGTAATTTTTTCAAAATGCTTTGTAGGGATTAATCCTTCTTTTATGCAATTCATATCTGTCCCACTATCAATTAAGGCAATAATTTCGATAATAAATGCTTGATCAATTACTAATATGATTCTAACATGTCATTTTCGATAGATTATTTTTTCTAATACATTTAAGTATTCACTCGTAGAATCCTCTCTTATTTCTTTTAAATCCTGGATTTCAACATTGTTAGTTTCTATTGGCCTTTCTTCTAGTGCAAAGAGTGTTTGCTTTATCAATTTTATTTCAGCTTTAGATTGATTAATTTCTCGTTTAAGATCTTGCATAGAAGTTTCCTTTTTTTTAAGTACTACAGATTCAGATCTGTTTAGTATTTCTTTTAAAGAATATGTTTAGTATTTCTTTTAAAGAATATAGTTGTGACATAGAAGGTTTTTTTTCTTCTGTAGTTAATTCCAAGTATTGCTCTATAGCTTTCCGTTTAGATAAATTTATTCTATAAGGTCTAAAATTAGTGATTGTGATTTAGTTAAAATGTTTATACTTTATATATTTATGTCTAATATAACTTTATAATAATTAGTTTGGGCTTGATAGTGTGATGAGCAGGCTTTATCCTTCTCTAATACATCATCATCAGATGAACACATGAGTTGTCTCATTTCCGGAATTACAGATCCATGAGAACGAAATCTTATAGAAATCCTTGGCATACTCTTGAATTAAGTCAATAAAAGGCTCAACATTTGAGAGATTCCTTTTCATTTTTCCAATAGCTTCAATGATATTCTTTGAGTCTCCTTCCACAATAATATTAGAATACCCCATTTCCATGGCAAAACCTAGTACTTTAGATGCTGACAATGCTTCAATATGATTAGCCGTAGAGAAACCCTTAGCAAAGTGACATAGCCCAAACACAAAAGAACCATTACAATTTCTAATAATCACTCCAAAACCCCCTGCCTGTTCATTGGTGAAGACTGCTCCATCAAAATTAATTTTAAAACATCCAATTGGAGGAGGGGTCCAACAACATTGATCCTCATTCAAAATTGCCATCAAACGAGGAGAGAAATAAGTATGAATAGCAGTATACTAGTTAAGAAATGATTTAACAAAAATTACAAGCTGATTAGGAAGAAAAATATTTTGGTGCAATCTAGCTCTATTACCGACATACCATATCTACCACAATAGAGTCAAAATGACATCAACTTGTTTAGGTTGGAATTCCTCCATAATGATAACAGAAAATCTTGAATTGAGGGAAAAACAACCAGAGGAAAAATAATATCAGCAGCATCCCGTACCTTGATAGAGTAAGGGCATTCCAAGAATAAATGCATCATTGTCTCTTGAGGATTTTCACAAAGGAAACAACCATCACATACTAGTAGATGCTTACGATGGAGATTACATTGCGTGGGTAAAATGTCTTGGAACAACCTCAAAGCAAAATGTTTAATCTTGCATGAGATCTTCAAATTCCAGAGAAAATCCCTCCATTTCCCAGAACTCATCACATTGTCTTTACCTTTATAGACATGAAGAGTTTTCTCCTTAATCAACCGATACCCACTCTTCATAGAAAAATACTCAAATTTAGTATAGTGCCATACCTACCAAAACATCCGGAGGTAGATGTCCACTTAGAGGAATATTTGCAATCTCCTCTACTTTAAAATTCAAGAATCTAGTGTTGAGCAACTCGAAATTCCAGCATCTTCGATCACAGTCAATCAGCGAACTAACGAGTATATCATCTGCTAGATTGGGGAGAGGACTAATAACTCGAAAGGATGAGGGTCTAGGAATCCATTTATCTCCTTTAACCTTTATATTACACCCATATCCAACGTGCCAACGCAATCCAACCTTAACGATCTTATGTGCCATCAAAATACTCCTTCATGTATAGGACGGATTAGCCCCATGTGTACCATCCATCAAAGAAGAGGGAAAATATTTAGCCTTTAGTGTAAAATTCGGAAAAATTTAAACTTTTGTAAATAAGGGCAAAACGATAATTTGTCACTACAGAACGGGTTAAAAATCTAAATTTTTTTAGATCTCGGTTAACGAAACGGACCTCACTGTTAGATTCATCTCACAAAATCTAGTTACCCAATTAAATTTCATTGAATTCTGAGATAGTCGAATTTTTTACGTTTTACTAGGCAGTCGAGTCTCGGGTGACCCAAAAAATGAGATTTTTGATTAAATTTTAAAATTTGGAAAATTATTTAAGGTAAGTTAAAATAAAAATATTTTGAGCTTAAACCGGGACGAAATTTAATCGTTTCGGGTGCGAAAACGAACCCGAAAAAAAGAGGTCGTGTGACGCATTGTGAGCCAAGTAAATTAAGGGGTATAAATAGGAGAAAAAATCAGATTTTTCCTCCATTGTGTTCGCCCTTCACCTGATAAAAGAGAAGAGAGGGAAATAGAGTAGCTTCTTCACTTTTCTCTATGATCTACAAGATTCGAGTGCTCGAATTCACTCGGGCCAAGAGGAAAAGTTGTTCTCCTCGTCAAGGGCTACGCCTACGTACCAAAAATGACGGGTTTTATCGAAGATCAAGGTACGATATTTTTGAAAGCTTGGGATTTGGGCTAGAAGCGGATTCTTGGAACTTCCTATGGTCGTTCTTTATGCTTCAAAAGGTAAGGTTCCTTCCTACTCGGGTTTATTTTACAATCTAGAGTGTTTTATGTAATGGGTAGATTGGTAGAGATTTATATCACTTGCCTATGGATTGGAGTTGATGGAATAGATTGACTTGGTGAATTGGGTATGAAAAATTGACCTAATTTAAATTAAATTCCTAGTTTGAGATTGGTATGTGGTAATTACTTGTGTAATCCCATGGAGTTGATATTGTGTGAGCATGGTATATGCTTAAATTATGCCTTTGTGAACAAAGTGTGTTGTTGGTTTATATATGAGTAAGTAACATGCTTGTGAATTATTATTGAGAATGAAATGTTGATATATGTTCATTGATATATTGACATTGTGATGAAATTGGTGATAAATTACATGATATATGTATACATGTAGTTAAAGTTGCTTATATGACATTCATTACATGTGGGCATGACATTGAGATAACAATGACACATTACATTGCATATGCACAGAGATATCGTATTTTATGGGTGTGGGTGCATGGTTGGCATCAAACACTACATAGGTGGCTGATGGGTGGGCTCGGGATAGTTGTATTGAATATCCGGCTAAGTCGCACAGTTGCATGAAAAAGAATTGGGTTAGGGTTAGTAAGAAGGGCTAGACTATCCCTCGGGTGAGAGGTTCGGTGTTCGGATACATATTTTTGTTGGTATAAGAGCCTATAAAGTATATCGGTGTACGCGAAATCGTTGGTAAAAGTTTATGAATTTTGTGTCAGTTGGGTGACCATTGATGTAAGTCCATAAATACCCACCCCAAGAAAGATCCAGAGGTTTTAAGTAGTCATTGAGCATGTAACACCAATGGCGGGGGGTGTGGAAATCCTGGTTTTGACACTCATGGCATAGTATGGAAGAAGGTAAATGGCCGGAGCTAGAAAAGCTCGGTCTTATACACATGGGCTTTACATATGTTGTGGAGCCGGGAAAGACTCAGGTAAATTGCATGAATGTGCATCATCTCAATTCATGGCATGGTATGTTAGATTCCAATATTGACTTGCTTAAATGTTGGTTGAAATGACTATTTTGGTTAAATGTTGCATGTAAAACATTGCATATGCACTTAGGTTGGGGAGTAGCCTCTGTAGGAGACATTCTACTAGGTGTTGGCTCACCTTATACGGGAAATATTTCAGGTGCGGGGTTCGTACTGGTGGAGGACTCACATTCGGGGCCTCAACGATGAAGAAAAGTCGATTTGTGGCCTTTGAAAGCAAGTTTTTATAAAACTTTTGTAAAATTCCATTTTGAGCATGTAATTATGTAAATAGGTTGGTAATCATATGGAATTAATGTGATAGAACTTGTATGGATTATGTATAATGTAGAAAACTATATTTTACATGTTGGAAATGAGTTAGGAAATGTTTCGAATAAATTGAAAATGAAAAATAGGTGAAACAGACAATTCTAGGCAAAACCTTCCGGAAGGTCGAAACAAACCTTCCGAAAGGTTTGGACAGACAAGGAAAATTGTCGAACATTGGGTGAAACCTTCTGGAATGTCAATTCTAACCTTCCGGAAGGTCTTCATATTCTTCACAAAATAAGGAATCCAGTGTGCAACTTCTTTCGGAAAGTTTGAACACACCTTCCGGAAGGTTGACACATCTTTCTTCAAGATAGGATTCCAGTAAGCAAAATCTTTCGGAAGGTTATGAAGACCTACCGGAAGGTCGACGAAAAATCTCTTAAGGAACTTTTGCAGTAAGTAAAACCTTCCGGAAGATTTTTCAAAAATCTGAAATTTTAAGAATACATTGTCATGTTTTTGGGTTATATGTTCTTTGGTTCCAATGACACAAATGGACCTTAAATGAGATATATTTGGGTATATTGAACCTCGATGGGATTATATGATTAAAAAAAACACGATCCTCGTGTGGGTTGTAATCCCGGTTACAGGGATGTGATAGACGTGATGTCGGATTATGTGACATTCACGGATATTTTTACGAGTTGATGGGTGACCAACGACTAATAAAGGACTCCCGAATTTTGGGATGTCATAGCTTGGTATTAGAGCATAGGTATACAATTTACCTAGGGCTGTTGGGCATGGGTTTAGACCATTGCATGTATTGTGCATTCATGATTAAGTGCTTAAATGATACGTGCTACATGTTATGTGATATGAATTATGTGAANTTATTTTTTACTTATTAAAATTTGATTTGATTAAAATTATATTCGAGCCAATTAAAAATCACATTTAATTTTAATAGACCCGAATTTTGATACATAAAAAAAATATAAATGTTAATCTACTCAAATTTTAATTCGTAAAAAATAAATTTTGATTAACTTGAATTGAATTTTAATTGACATGAATTTTAATAAGTAAAAAAAATATAAATTTTAATCGACTCGAAGGAAATTTTAATTAGCGCTAACAACCCAGATAGAGTTCAAATCAACTTAAATTTTAATGCGTAATTTTTTTTTAATTAGACTCAAATTTTAATATATAAAAAAATAAAATTTAATCAGTTTGAATTGAATTTTGATCGGCTCAAATTTTGATATGTAGAAAAACGAATTTTAATCAACTTGAATTTTAATACGTAAAAAAATAAATTTTACTCGGCTCGTATTTTAATCAATTTTTATGTAGAAAGGTTGTTTGGTGTTTTAGGGGGCAATTTTAGTATTTTAAATGTGTTGTTTTTTTTAAAAACGCTGGTTTAATGGTAAGAGTATCAACTATATTTAAATTATAAATTACAAAGAGTGTTAGTGAAGTTTTAAATAATAGAAAAGATAGTCTTAAAAATATGATAAACAATAAATACTTATTTTTTAATATTAATAGTTGCACACAATTCCGGTTCACATGACGTTGTTGTATGCAAATGAAACATAACAACCTAATAGACAGTCGCACAGTTTAATGGGGGCAGCCAACGACCTCATGTTCCCATTACCGAGGATCTATTGAGGTGATCTTCGAGTACTTTTTTTATTTTAATTTATTTTTAATTATCAAAATGCAAAAAAAAGATAATNCCACAAATCCCTCATTTGACGCTTTTGCTCCAGCTCATTCACCAAAAACTTACACAAATTAGTACCATAATTGACACGGCACCCAATGCTCCGTCAATCCATTGCACACTCAAATCATACTTCACAATTTCTAGAAGTGGGGGCAGTTCCAAATTCAAATGTGAAAATGATCACCTCTATGGTTCAATATTGGAATTACAGATCGCCTATGATCATCACCATTTCGCATTGGGATCACAATACCTTACACCGGTGACCAGGATATCAGTCACCAACACTGAAGATAAGCATAACTCCTCTCCAGGTGTTGTAAAGAAATGCTTTGCACTGCGAAATAACAATGCAGAGAGAGAGGTAGGGCTTCAGGGGAAAAAAAGAAGAATTCAAGTAGATTGTGAACTTGTTTGGGATCTTCCCCAAAAAAGTAGGACTTATTTGTCCATTTTCGAAATTTATAGGACCTAACAGTTTTTTGATGCACAAAGCAGTACTTAATAGTTCTTTTCCGTAGAAACTACCATTTTTAGTAAATCAGTGCATGGTTTTGCCAGGCTACTTTTAAATTTTACGCCATCAAAACTATTGAGATTCACATTTACACTCACATCCCTAACATAATTCCCAACAACATTTTTTTTTCCAAATCAAAATGTTTAACAGGTAAAATGATTCAAGATTAAACTGAGCCATGAGAGCATTTCCAATCAATTTACTTAACTTCAAATTTGATGCAAGCAAAAGCTGTCTATCTGAAAGAACATTACACGAGTAAGATCATAATTCAAGTGAGCACCCTATATCTACACACTATCAGTCCTTAAGATCAAGAAAGTGGCTTACTCTCAGCTTGTGCTCCATATTGCATGATTGAAATTATCCAACTCTT